AGGAAGGAAGGAAGGAAGGAAGGAAGGAAGGAAGGAAGGAAGGAAGGAAGGAAAGCATCCATACACCCACACACCTGTATGTGTGGGTATAAGTGTATCCACACACAAGACACACACACACACACATATATGACACTTATGACAGCTCCATGGCAACATTATGGAGCTGACACTCAGGTTGCTAAGGCAACCAAATAATTCAGCCAGGCTGTGCTTTAGTCTTAATTTCTTATAGGGTTCAGCTTTCCACCCAGTATAATTGGATGAAAAACTCTGCTGTTTTGTCACAATTGCTACCCTCCCCGGTCCTCTCCTCCCAATTCCCAGTACAGTGGTGTGAGAAGAGAGGATGGCTGGGGGAGGTGGGGAGGTAAAGGAATAGACAAACTGTTGTGTACATCAAGAACTTGGGTTCATTGTCAACAGGAAAACATATTTATTTTGCGCAACCTGGTAAAGTCAGACACTCACACTTCAGTTTCTGTGATTTCAAAGGTTACTTAATGTGTCTGATTCAGTTTTGTATCGTGGCTTTGTCTGAGTCATCTTGTGTGCCAACAATTTTTTTCAAAGCGGGTCATGTTTACTTAATTAATCGACAAAACTATTACTTGAGACTAAAAGGGAGGCTCTGAATCACTGGGAATCTTCTTATTTCGATAGTTAATTATTTCAGAGAAAAAGACCACCTAGACAGACTGGAATGTTTGCTTTGGAAAATTTATTCCATTTAAAACATGGAACTTCAAATTTAGAGGGGAGGGATGCCTCAATTTTTTTTGGGGGGGGGGGGGAGTGTGGCAATTGTTTTGCAACCTATAGAAGGTAGCCAAGCCTCTCACATGCGGGAGACCTCATAGTCCTGCATAGCCAAGATGTTTTCATAGACAGCAGGATGCTCCAGGATCACCCTGTCGTTCTTTGGAGCAGACTGAATCCCATCCAGGAGACACTGGTGCAAGAAGGCATACTGATCCTGTAGAAAAGGAGACAGAAACAGGGGGGAGGATTTGACAGTTGAAATGGGCATGAACAATTGAGTTGAGTTGTCCCACATGAACATCAACAGTGAGCAGAGATGCTGGGCAATTTGTTGGGGGCGGGGGGGTGTGGGGAGATGATGCGGCTCTTTTTATTTTATTTATTTATTTATTAGATTTGTCAATCACTTACAAGATAATAGGTATAAGTATAAACATAGTTATGAATACATGAAATGGGTACATATAAGAAAAAAAAAAGAAACAATAGGTAAGGGACGGTAGGCACATTGGTGCGCTTATGCAGGCCCCCCCCTACAGACCTCTTAGGAAAGGGGTGAGGTCAATAGTAGACAGTCTAAGGTTAAAGTTTTTGGGGTTTGGGGAAGAAACTACAGAGTCGGGTAGAGTATTCCAGACATTGACCACTCTATTGCTGAAGTCGTATTTCCTGCAATCAAGTTTGGTGCAGTTAACCATGAGTTTGTATCTATTGTTTGCTCTAGTGTTGTTATGACTGAAGCCGAAGTATTCATTAACAGGTAGGACATTGCAATGTATGATTTTATATACTATACTTAGATCGGACCGAAGGCGGCGTAGTTCTAGGTTTTCTAGGTCTAGAATTTCAAGTCTGGTGGCATAAGGTATTCTGCAAAGAGTAGAGGAGTAGAAGGTATAAGGCATAAGGTATTCTGCAAAGAGTAGAGGAGTAGAAGAGTAGAGGAGCTCTTCTTGTGAAATATTTCTGGACTTTCTCAACTGTGTTAATATCAGATACATAATGTGGGTTCCAGACTGATGAGTTGTATTCAAGTATTGGCCTAGAAAATGTTTTGTATGCTCTAGTTAGTAGTGTGATATTACCAGAGAAAAAGCTGCACAGGATTAGGTTAACAACTCTTAATGCTTTTTTGGCTATGTAGTTACAGTGGGCTCTAGCACTTAGATCATTAGAGATGAATACTCCAAGGTCCTTGACAGAGTTTGGATCATCAACAAGGTCTTGACTATTCAGCTTGTATTTTATTTTCTGATTTTTTTTTGCCAATATGTAAGACAGAACATTTATTTGTTGAGATTTGAAGTTGCCATTTGTTTGACCATTCTGATATATAGTCGAGGTCTTTTTGAAGGGTAGCAAAATTATCTGTGGTGTTGAATAGCTTTACATCATCAGCGAAGATGATTATCTTTGTATAGCTATGCACTTGGCAAACTCAATTGGGAGTTGATTCAAATGTATCCCCTGTTTCTGCCAGAGCACAAACCCATCTGCCCAGGTTGGGGGAAAATGCCCAGCTGATTTCAAAAAGCGAAGCCAGATCAGATCTCGAAGGAGTAATTGGTCCTGGAAGATCACCAGAAAAATCCGTGGTTGTAGCTTAGTTTGAGAGGTCAAACCAAAAACTATTGGCAATGGGAAATTGACAGAGAATTTCAGGGCAGCAGGCTAGCCTTGGAGGGTTGAAAAATTAATACTGCAAGAAGACAATGGCAAGCTGTTTCCTTCGTGTAGCCAAGAAAACTAAATAGATGTATTGATGTAGTCAGCAGGAGTAGAGCTCAACTCCAAGGCAGCTTTATCTTGTCATAGTAAATCTAAGCACCGACTGAGTGGCTTGGCAGTTGAACAAAGCTAGTCTTAGTTAATATGTAGATAGAAAATGAACAGGAAGTTCTTGATGGAGATAAAAGCACCCATGGAAGAAGACAACAGCAGTCCCTTTGGCACTGTCCCAAAGGTGCTAGTTTTCCAAAAGGTAGCTGGATTTCCTTGTTTTTTTCCTTGAAAAACATTTCACTTCTCATCCAAGAAGCTTCCTCAGGTGGGGAATGGAAGGGTTTATATTTGGTGCAGTCATCTGGTCGTTAGCACTCTTGAAGGTCAATTATTAGCTCTCTGAGAATAGTTGAGGCCACTTGGGCATTTATCTGCGCCTCCAGGGTCACCTGAATCAGAGTGCAGATGGCTTCTTGGGATTGCTAAAAGGACTATGGTGGAGACAGGAGACAGGTGGGGTCATGTCCTTCACCCCCTGCTGAGGGACGGCTGTTCAATTTAACATAGATGGATTCTTTGACCCCTCTTTCGAATCAATGGTCTCTTTGTTCCTGTTGCTAACAAAACTAAATGGATGTATCCAGGACATCATTAGCAGTTGAGCTCCACCTGAAGGATCATCAGCCATTGGTATATTAGCTATATTAGTTTAGAGAGCACCTTAAAAGTAGGATGAATCAACTTAGCAGTCATGCTGAACTTTAGTTGTTTGGTTTTTGACTTGACGTATTATGTAAACTCAGCTACAGTTGCTTGTAAAGCAAGCTTTATGGATCCACGTAATATGAGAAATAGCTCATTCAACCAACGCGAGAGAAGAAAACCATAACTCATGAGTGGGCCTACACAAGTGTGTTTTGGGTGTAAAACTCTTAATCACTGCAATCTTGTTGTCTATAGCAAAGTTCCCCAATCTTTCAGACTGGTGGGGGGAGGGGGGAATACTTTCTTGCAAGCGATGGGTGGGTGCGCATGCACAGCTCCATTGCCGCAAGTGGCAGGCATGCATGGCCACCAGTCATGCGAATGGATCGCACACATGCTCGCCCACTGCTTGCACAAATGGGGAGGTGTGCATATGAACACTCACCCACCACTTTGGTAGCCTGGTTCCGAATAGCTCAAGGCCTGGGAATGGGCAGCTGCCCAAGGGTTGGGGACCCCTGATCTATAGAGAATGAGAGATCATGACTTTTAAGACAGATGTCTTGAGTTCGATGTTGTTTACATATGTAGACTACAGTAGTGTCACCTAAGGATGATGAAAATTGGAGTCAAACACATCTGTGGCCTAAACTTAGGGAAGGGTGCAATTCTAACAACAAGGAATATGTAAATTAGGTGCACATGTGTGCACATTCGCGTACTAAAAATATAGAAGTGACAAATAGTACAGCAAACCAACCCCAGGCAACATTGTTTGAAAGGAAGGAGAAAATAAAAACACCGTTATGTTGTTGAAATAACTGCAAAGTGCTAGTTGAGTCAGTCAATTAAGAGTATTCTTAACTCAACAATGGTACCCTCAGAACTGGATAGCCTCCAAAATGCAGGCACTTCAACTAAAAAAAACCACAATTCTTAGCACGCGCAATGCTGGCTAAAGGAATTTTGGGAGTCAGATTTTACATTAGGTCAGGGATGTCAAACTTGCATCATCACAGCGTCATCATGTGACGTATCATGACTTTTTCCCACTTTGGTAAACTGGGCGTGTCCAGCGTGTGATGGATCTGGCCCATGGGCCGCGAGTTTGACTGCATTAGGTTGTCCAGGTTGGAAGAGATCGCAGTGTCTTTTGTTTAGCTAGACAGGGCAACTTTCTTAAATCCTTCTTTTTGATCCCAGAAGTACAAGTAGTCCTCCACTTACAACAGTTCATTTAGTGACCATTTAAAGTTACAGTGGCCCTGGAAAAAGTGACTTATGACCATTTTTCACACTTACGGCTGTTGCAGCACCCCACTATGGTCACATGATCAAAATTCAGGTGCTTGGCAACTGACTCATATTTGCGATGCTTGCACTATCCTGGGGTCAGCATCCTTTTTACCAACCTACCGACAAACACCAAAAGCCAAACTCACTTAACGACTGTGTTGCTAACTGAGCAACTGCAGTGACTCACTTAACAATGGTGGCAAGAAAAGTCATAAAATGGGACAAAACTCACAACCATTGTCTTGCTTAGCAACAGAAATTTTGGGCTCAGTTGTCATCATAAGTTGAGGGCTACCTGCAGTCTGCCAACTGTACAACATGAGAAGGGGTATTGGTCAAATCCAGAGGAGTTCTCGAAATAGGTTCTGGAACACATATCCCCATGTAATCCCCCCTCACCTTGACAGATTTTCTAAAGCAGGCGTGTCAAATACAAGGTGCATGGGCCAGATCCAGCCCACGATATGGTCAGATCTGGCCTGAGGGGCCATCCTGGAAAATGTAAGCCCACGCAGCTTCAGCCCAGAGTACCCAATGTGAAGAGGAAACACCAGGTCAGAGTGGCTTCATCCTGGTCTACCCATTGTGAAGAAGAGGAAACATGCCAGCAGTTTGGGGAGTGGTGTCAAGCTGACCACGCCCACCCAGTTCACCACATCCACCCAGTCGGCCACACCCATCCCCCCCCCCGAGGTCAACCACAGCTCTAATGCAGCCCTCAGTGAAATTGAATTTGACCCCCCTGCTCTAAAGATTTCAGAGGAGATGTTTGCCAATATATCAGATCTGCTTCTACACATCGCTGTTTCCCATTCTCTCACCTCATTCTGGATCATGAGTGGACGGTTCCTTCTCAATTTCTCAACAAATGAAAAGACACCGATCTCTCCTTGGTCCTGGGCTTGGCACAGCAGTGAATCTAGAGAAATAAATGTGCCTGTCCGGCCCACCCCAGCACTGGAAAGGCGGAAAAATGGGGGAGGGGGAAGAGTCCATCAGGCATGGACAACATCAACTATGCTCTAGCTGTATGTAGAGACTAAAGGAGATGACTTTTGCAGACATATGCAAGAACATTACATAAGCAGAGTGGGCTAAAATAGTCCTGGGAAGCAAAATATTTGGAAATCACTCAGACTGGTTCGTTCCTGATTCATTGGAGCATAAGAATAAGGCAAAGCACAATCCAGCTTGCAAGATTCTGTTATTATAGCCCATCTCAATAAAATATAGCTCTAGTTTTTGGTGGAGTTGATTTTCCAGCCTGATCTAGCTAGCACATTGGACACCATGAGATATATTATACAGTGGATCAGCTTTATTTAACTCCAAGCCCCTCTAGATATCTTGAACTTCAACACCCATCATCTCCAGCCAGCATGACCTATGACTTCCTTGGTGCTTGGTTTATTGGAAGGTGAAGGGAGATGGAAGCCCAGTTGAGAAGTTCCTAATCAATATTGCCACTTGGCTTAGAAGGAAGAGTGACTCTGAGTAGACCCATTGGAGAAGATCTCAATAATGAGTGCCCCACCTCCCTTTGGTTCTTTCTTGCACCAGACCTTCCCACTCCCATTTGATGTACCTGCAGTGAACCAGAACTGGCCCATTATCCTTCATTTTGTCTAAGTCCTCCCTGACAAGATATCGGAAACGAAGAATGGTGTCTGTGGTTTGGGGGACTCCATGATCTGGCCATGATGTGTAGTGATAATGCCTAGCATGACGAACATCAGACATGGTCATCTGTTGAGAAACAAAACATTCAGATGTTCCATCACCAAGGCACAAATTTGGGTCTATCTATCTATCTATCTATCTATCTATCTATCTATCTATCTATCTATCTATCTATCTATCTATCTATCTATCTATCTATCTATCTATCTATTTCTGTACTTGGGAATTCTTGGTATTCACCCTTTCTTTTCTCTTATATGCCTTTTTGACTCCCATAGGTACCTGAACATGGAAAAGGAAGGGTGTGCTTTTCCTTGGGATGGCTGGGTGGAAGTCACTTCGAAAATCCACCTGGCACTTGCTATTGTATTTTAAGCTCAGAAGGAAAAAGCAGCCTCAAGTCTCAGTCACTCACCCGCTTGATACACAAGTCACGGATGGTCCAGTCAGGGAGGATGGTTTCTGTGATAACTGATACAGTAATATCACCATAGGTGCAGGGTGTATAATCCAAGGGCCAGTAATGTTCACATTTCACCTGGCCAGGAGAAAAAAAGTGGACACTTAATGAAATGTGGTAGCATTGGGGACAAGGGCTAAAATTATTAGATGCCTGTCAAATTTGGTATCAACCGTCCCATCTGTCACCTGGCCATTTCTTTTCCCAATACTATACTTTAAACGGTTACAGAAGTAGCTTAAGCTGAACCTGAGGAAAGGAAAGTTCCTCTCCGCCCCCAGCCCTCCCCTGGTTATCCGCAAATGTCCACTCTGGTGCTTGTATAGTGTTTAGGACAGCGGCCCCCAACCTTTTGGGCACCAGGGTCCAGTTCCACGGAGAGATGGTTTTCCATGGACTGGAAGAGGTGTGATTTCACCTGCTGCCCACATCCTGCAAATGAGGCTTGTTTGCGTGGCCCGGTTTCTGGCATGCTGCGGAGCAGTGCCGGTCCACGGATCGGGGATTGGGGAACTTCTGGTTTAGGAAACAGATCCTTGGTTCCCAGCTCTGCATACCGTGACTTAACCTTGCCTGCTATAGCTTCTCACACAGCTCAGCTGGACTTCCATTCCCACCTTCTTCCTTCCATTCCAATCTTTCTCCCCCTCATCTCTCAGTTCCCCTATGGCTGTCAGGTCATGAAACTTGGATGGGTGAGATGCAGCCACGACATTTGGACTCTGCCACAATTAAAACCCAGCCCTGCATTCCTCAAAGGGCATCTTTGGTGCTGAAACAAAGCTCCCTTCTCACCCGTCCGTTTTCAACGCAATTTGTCAGCATGACTATGTTTGCGATGCGATGCTCCCATATCATGCGCCAGAAGTCATGGAGTGTGGCAGGCAACGGACCCTGGGCTGCGATGAACTCCTTTTCCTTCTTGTAGCCCTTGGGTGGAGAGAGGTGTTATACTAATTTATACGTACATATACACAAAAACATTTGTTTAAAATCATTTTTTGCATTTCTAAAGGTGTTGCACATTATGCTCAAGGTTGCCTTGGTCAAAACAAAGCCCTGAGAATCGGGAGAAGTGAACAAAACAATTGTTTCAGAAAGCCAGGGCGAGGTCTCCTTATGGTCCTGCGCTTGGACTGAAATCGCATTACTTCCCATTAAGTCATTAGGAGTACATAGGCTTCCAGACTAATAGACCCCAAAGAGTAGAACTTAATTTAGAGATAACCTAAAAGCAACAACTTCAATACATGGTGCTCATTTATGACTACTACTCTGCAATATGATGGGCAAAGCCAAAGCAGACTGGCCTTTGTTAAGTGAAGATGAAAGGTTTGGAGTGGGGAAAAATAGAGCCCAAATTACATTAGACATCCAAGGCCAAACATATATTGCATCGAATGGAAATAATACGTCCAGTTAGCAGGATCAATGATGGAAGATGGTGACAGGAAACTATTTTTCAAGGTGAGGGTCATATTTAGCTTTTGGGCTGGAGAACCGAAATCCAGAAAATAGGTGGATGAAAAATAACTGGATCCAGGACACCTGCAGTTGAGTTGTTGTCATTAATGCTGTATGATCAAATGTAGTTGCCAAAAAAGCCAATGCAGTCCTAGGGATACAGAGGGATCACAGAGTCACAGAGGGATACAATCAAGATCATCTGAAGTGTTAGTACCACTTTATAAGGCCTTGGTAAGACCAAACTTGGAGTACTGCATCCATTTTTTGTCACCACGATGTAAAAAAGGTGTTGAGACTCTAGAAAGAGTGCAGAGAAGAGCAACAAAGATGATTAAGGGACTGGAGGCTAAAACATATGAAGAACGATGGCTGGAATTGGGTATGTCTAGTTTAGTGAAAAGAAGGACTAGGAGTGACAGGATGGCAGTGTTCCAATATCTCAGGGGTTGCCACAAAGAAGAGGGAGTCAAGCTACTCTCCAAAGCACCTGAAGGCAGGACAAGAAGCAATGGGAGGAAACTGATCAAGGAGAGAAGCAACCTAGAACGAAGGAGAAATTTTCTGACAGGGAGAACAATTAATCAATGGAGCGATTTGCCTCCAGAAGTTGTGGATGCTCCAATACTAGAGATTTTTAAGAAGAGATTGGATAACCATTTGTCTCAAATGGCATAGGGTTTCCTGCCTGAGAAGGGGGTTGGACTAGAAGACCCCCAAAGTCCCTTCCAAGTCTGTTATTCTATTCTGTTCTGAATATGGCTGTGGTCCATTATTCCATCATTTCTCCCTTCTGTCACGCTAAAAATGGCAATTTACTAGCAATTATAAAAGGTTCTGGATATAACATCCAATATCAGGGTTGTACGTTATTCATCTTGGCATTTAGGACTGATTTGGAGTGCTTTAAACATGTTCCAGAATGGGTTACTCATAAATTGGCTTCAATCTACTTCTTCTGCACTCTTAGCCAACATCACATCTCCAAAAGGCAATAGCGAAGACATACAGGCATGTAGCTGGCATTGATGTAGTCTGAATGGGGATCTTCTTGCTTGAGGGTGAGCTGGACTCGTGCATGGTCATCTGTGGAGAAAGAACCAAAAATGTCACTCAGAGAAGAGTGAAAGCAAAAGAATAGCACTGAAGATAAGAAACACCTAGGACCTCAGTCTTTCCAGTTGAACTCCAGCATTGTCTCCATTATATTACATTGGTTCAGAATTCTAGATAAGGATCAGTGATTCAGAAGCATTAATGTAGACCATTAAAGTCTCCTCTGTGGAATGGGGACTGTTGAGTTGCATCAATTGCATCAATTGCACAGTGGCAGATAGGAAAGCACTCCAGAGGGTTAATGTCATTGCCCAGAAGATCATTGGTTGCCCTCTCCCCTCTTTGGAAGAGCTTTATAGCTCCCGCTGCCTTAAGAAAGTTCAAAACATTCTCAAAGATCCATCTCATCCTGGGCACCCTTTTTTTGAACTATTACCATCTGGCAGACGGTACAGAATAATAAAAACAAGGACAAATAGGCTGAAAAACAGCTTCTATCCCAGGGCAGTAGCTCTTTGGAATTCTGCTGTATAGTGCAGTGTTGGTGCAATATCAGGGATTTTCAGTTCAATGTATAGAATGTGAAGGATGTGTGTTTGTGTTTATTTTGATAGTCATAATGTACATTGAAGATGGTATTTAATTTCATTGTACGAGGTGCAATGACAATAAAGTAAAGTAAACGAAACTAAATCTGAATCAGATTCCTGATGTTCAAAATTCAAGCAGGCTCTTTTATATTAAGTACGGTAGGGATGGAATGTAGAATGAAAACACAGGCAAAGCTTGCCAAACACAGCTTTTGGAATGCTCTTTAATTCCTTTATCAGTGGTGGCTATATAAGGGGCACCTGTATTTTCTTCTGGATACAACATGACTTCTATGTATGTATGTATGTATGTCAGATAGAGATGACTACAGGATGTCCAAAAATAACAGGAGGGTGGAAAGGGCTTTGATCACACAGTCATCAGTTTAACCATTTGACCCTTTTGCGGATGCCCCTGGAGTGTGACTCCCCCCTCGTGTATGTGTGTGTGTGTGTGTATGTGTGTTGTGGGATGTAGTCTGGAGTCCCAGGAGGAAAAGGCTGCATCCCAAAGGACAAAGAGTCAGTGGAGTTTGGAATGTCTAATAGGCAGGAAGTGAGCAAAGATGGAGCCTCCCTAGCAGTTCACAGAGTATATCTATAATTATGCAGATTGCAGTTTTAATCTGATAAGATTCTATCTGTAGGCTAACAACAATACATAGCAATAGCAATCGCACTTAGACTTATATACCACTTCACAGTGCTTTACAGCACTCTCCAAGTGGTTTACAATGTCCGCATATTGCCGCCAACAATCTTGGCTCTCATTTTGCCACCCTCAGAAGGATGGAAGGCCGAGTCAACCTTAAGCCCACCAGGATCAAACTCCAGACTGTGGGCAGAGTTAGCCTGCAATACTGCATTCTAACTATTGCACCACCAGGGTTTTGTATGCCACCAATATAAAGATACACCTCAAAAGCAACTCCGTGTGTCATCCTTTGTTTGTGGGGCCTGACATTGTGTTGGTATAGTAGAGCACAGGGAAGCCCAGAGCAGATTGCATGTACCATATTCTGGGTCTTCTAAACAGGCGGGAAGGGGGCTTAGAGTGGACCTATTCAGTCCTTTGATTTGATGCCATTGGGCAGCTCACAAGTCACAATTCAAGAGGCTGCTTGACTTCCCTAAAGATGCTTTCGGCAACCTTTGGTCTCCTCTAGTCCACTTTTAAACTCAGTCCTCCTTTTGCTGACTTCCTCCTCCACCACAGATTGGGTTTCATTCTGGTCATTTTCTTGCAGATGGACAGGGAGAGCCCCTTCCGATGGGTTCCCTCTGATGGATTGGAAAGAATAAACTAATAAAAAGGTTCGTGAGGTAAGGGGAATAGGACTTACATGGCAGAACGTTGCTATAGCGATTCTTAGCTTGATTTTCATGCTGCTGGGCTACACTCTGGAGCTGGTCTGTTCCTGTGTCCTGCAGTTGCTATTATGTAGGTAAGGAAAGAAGAAATATTGACTCAGTTAAGCAGAGCACAAGAGGCTCCCAAAATAAGGCAAAGCAAAACCAAGTAGGGAAAACACGCTGTCGGGCAAGAGTTACTATACTAGAAATTGTCTTCCTTTAACTAACAGAATAACAGAGTTGGAAGGGACCTTGGAGGTCTTCTAGTCCAACCCCCTTGCCCAGGCAGGAGATCCTATAACCATTTTCAACAAATGGTTGTCCAGTCCCTTCTTAAAAGGCTCCAGTCTCGGAGACCCACAACTTTTGAAGGCAAGTTGTTCACAGGTTGATTGTTCTTACTGTCAGGAAGTGTCTCCTTAGTTCTAGGTTGCTTCTTTCTTTATTCAGTTTCCATCCATAGCTTCTGGCCTTGCCTTCAGGTGCTTTTGGAAATAGGTTGACTCCCCTCTTCTTTATGGCAGCCCCTCAAATATTGGAACACTGCTATCATGTCACCCCTAATTCTTCTTTTCACTAGACTAGATATACCAAACTCCTGCAAACATTCTCCATATGTTTTAGCCTCCAGTCTTCTAACATCTTTGTCATTCTTTTCTGCACTCTGTCCAAGAGACTCAACATTTTTTTTTAATATTGTGCTAACCAAAACTGGATGCAGTATTCCAAGAGTGGCCTTACAAGGCATTATAAAGAGATATCTTGTGAACTTGATTCTTCTGATAATCTTGATTTTATCCCTGCCTTTACTTCTTGTTTTCAACTCCCCGCCTCGATGTGTCTGTTCAGATTAAGTCCCACAAAGTCTATTGAGACTTAATGCCAGCAGGATGAGGACAGACGTCTTCCTGACCAGTTGCTTTGCCGTTGGGCTAGGTTACAAATCCCATCATTCTCAGCCATCATGCCTTGGGACTGATGCTCACATCAATTGTTGAAGATGCAAAGTTTCATTAAAAATCGGAGAGAGGTCCAAGGCTATTTTATTTTAAATGCACCCAAAACAGCTCTGTTCCTTTGCATCCTAGATCAAAGTAATTACAGGTAGTCTTCGACTTACAATGGTTCATTTAGTGACCATTCAAAGTTATAAAAGCACTGAAAAACGTGACTCTGTTTTTATTATTTATGACCTTTGCAGCATCCCCATGGCCATGTGATCAAAATTCAGATACTTGGCAATTGGTATGCATTGGAATGAATGAATGAATGAATGAATTCTTTATTGGCCAAGTGTGATTAGACACACAAGGAATTTGTCTTGGTGCATATGCTCTCCGTGTACATAAAAATAAAATTTATGATGACCGCAGTGTCCCTGGGACATGTGGTCACTTTTTGAGATCTTTTGACAAGCAAAGTCAATGGGAAAGCTAGATTTATTTAACAACCAGGTTGCTAACTTATCAACTGCAGTGATTAACTTAACAACTGTGGCAAGAAAAGTTGTAAAACTTACTTAACAACAGAAATTTTGGGCTCAATGGTGTACCTATATCTTCTCTGTGCTTTTTGTTCCACTGAAGTCAATGATCTCATACATGAGAATTGATGGAGAAACACAAAACGCTGAAAATTGATTTCCTTCCATGAAATTCTGAATCGTGTTTTTAATTGGATCCAGCTTGACTGTGGAGCTGGACAGTTGTTTTCCTTCCTCACCCCGATCCATACTCCACCTGAAAAATAGGCCTTAGGGATCTTAAAATCTGTTAAGAGAAGCCAGATAGATAATTAACACCTGGGATCCATCATTCATACCAAGGAAAGATTTGCCTGGTGCCAGACAAACCATACATTTCAGCAGAAATGGGGGGAAAAGTGCTACAAGAATACACTACAGATGACCACTGAGCTATGATGCTGTTGCCAAATCTTTCCCATGGCAGCCACAAGATGAGTGGGCTTAAACTGCCAGAAAGCCAGTAAACAAAGCTATTGCTGAGGATTCCGGAAGTCCCCAAATTTGAAGAGTGCTGGGAGAAGGCTAATGGGCGTGATAGGTGAGAAAATCTGTTGCTTAATGTTTGTTTATTTAAAATGTTAGTCAATGAGAACAGAGCTGGAAGGGACCTTGTAATCTAGCCCAATCCACTGCTCAGACAGGAGACGCTATACCTGTGATGGCGAACCTATGGCACGCGTGCCACAAGTGGCACGCAGAACCATTTGTGCTGGCACGCGAGCCACAGGCAAACTTACCTCACTGTGCATGCCTGCGCCTCACAGCTGATTCCCCCCCCCCCCGATTGGTTTGAGGCCTTTTTCGGCCTCCCAGAGGCTTGGAAAAAGCCTCTGCAAGGCTTCTCAGGATGGATTATAGGCCTGTTTCGCCACTTCCGATATTACAGGAAGTGATGAAACAGGCCTATACTTAGGCCTGAGAAGCCTTGCAGAGGCTTTTTTCCAAGCCTCTGGGAGGCTGAAAAAGGCCTCAAACCAATCGAAAAAACCAGCTGTGAGGCGCAGCGCAGGTAAGGGGGTGGGAGTGGGGATTGTGCATGCATGTGCAGGGGGCACGGGGAGGGGGGGCACGCATTGCATTCTGGGTGCTGGCTTGTGAGTATGGGCGTGCTGACACACTCACAATTTTTGGCACAGGAGCCCAAAAAGGTTAGCCACCATTGGCCTATACCATTTCAGACAAATGACTGTCCAGTCTCTTCTTAAAAACCTCCAGTGATGAAGCACCGACAACTTCTGGAGGCAAGCTGTTCCAGTGGTTAATTGTCCTCGGGAGAAGTTTCTCCTTAATTCCAGGTTGCTTCTCTCCTTGATTAGTTTCAATCCATTATTTCTTGCCCTGCCCTCTGGTGCTTTGGAAAATAAGTTGACCCCCTTCCTCTTTGTGGCAGCCTCTCAAATACTGGAATCTCTATAAAGAAGCCTCTTTAAGCTTTTAAAGCTTTAAACTTTTTTTAAAAAGCTATTATGTCAGAATTTTTAACAACCATCAAAAATGGAAAATTCTTTTCTTGCAGGGTATTCTTTACCAAGATTTATTGATAAGATGAGGTTATAAAAATTCCAGCTATTGGAATTGCTGATAATGGAGATATTTGCAATGGGTTGCTTATATGACAAACACCTTAGTCTTTATCAGTCTGGAAACTCTTATACACAGCAGGAACAGAGCTGCTAACAAACGGAAGAAAACTGGTGACATATTAATATAAAAAGCTGAATATAATATGGAATATTTATGGAGCACTCATTTTTAACAAATATATTTCAAGATACCACGAGGAAAGGAATCAGTGGAATTAAAGCTTACAATGAAGCTTTACTTGTTCATTTCTGCAATGCATGCCTCAAATCCAATTGAACCCATTGGAAATTCAAGCTTTGCAGAAATAACATTGAAAACCCCCAATAGTTTCTAAGAACAGTGGAGTGCGGTGGTTGCAAGTTAATTTAAGAATTATCAACAGCTCAGGTGCTAACACTTGATTTTCCTACTCTTTCTGCATAACTGATGTTTGCACTGTTGGGAACAATGTATTTATAGATATTTCACAAAAACGTGAAGAGAAACAAGAAATGGCTAGGTGGTGATTTGTAAACTGCCCCTCCCTCCCAGGAAAGCCGATTGCAAGTCTCATCAAGGAATATTTCCAACAAGGAGCATATATAAATAAATATACAGGTGGTCCTCGACCTATGACCACAATGGAGCCCAACATTTCTGTTGCTAAGTGAGATGTTTCTTAAGTGAGTTTTGCCCCATTTTATGACCTTTCTTGCTACATTTGTTAAGTGAATCACTGCAGTTGTTAACTTAGTAGCACAATTGTTAAGTGAATCTGGCTTCCCCACTGATTTTGTTTATCAGGTCACAAAAGTGTGAAAAATAGTCATAACTCACTGTTTTTCAGTGCCATTGTTACTTTGAATGCTCACTAAGCAAACTGTTATAAGTTGAGGACAACCTCAATAAGTCATATATTAGATCATACTGTTCCATCTTGTCTCCTCTTCCTCCTTCTTCCCACACCCCCTTGGCATATCTCAGGACTTCCCCAAAATGCACAGTTATTCTTTTTGCAAACTCTAGGAGTTGCAGACTCTATACTCCTGGGGAATGTCAGGTTAATAGTACTCCAGGCAGTGGTTTCATGCTGTTATCTTGAGGGAGAACATAGAAATGTAAATCTATTATTCAAAGCCCAAAGGGAAAGTTTAGGTCTTATGGAGATTCTCAGCCATCCAGTTCATAGTTGTCCCAGTTGCACCTTTTTCTTCAAAAGGCAACTGGATTATTTTTTTCCCCTTGAGGAAGAAGAAGTATGCGACCTTTGCAGCAGTTCCAAGAAGATTTCACAACCAACTACACCCTTTGGGGTCCTTGGTGCTCTCTGAGCTTGCTTGTTTTCTTGCAGATGTTTCATTACCCAAACTAGGTAACATCACCAATGCTAGTCAATTGCACCCTCTTTCAGATTATCCTGAGAGCACAGACAAGCCCTCAAGTGGCATCAACAGCTTTCAGAGAGAGTACTAACGTCCAGATGACTACAAAGAAAACACAATCCTTCCATTACCCCTTCCTCCTCTCAGAACCTATCCTTCCATTCCCCACTGTCCAGGCTCAACCACATGTACCTATCCTTCCATTCCTCCAGCATCAGAATTGAAGTTTCGTGGATGAGAAGTAAAATATTTTCTTAAAAACAAAACAAAACAGAATAACAGAATTGGAAGGGATTTTGGAGGTCTTCTAGCCCAACCTCCTGCTCAAACAAGAAACCCTATAACATTAGAGACAAACGGTCTTCTTAAAAACCTCCAGGTTTCGAGCACACAGAACTTCTGTCATTCCACTGATTAATTGTTCTCACTGTCAGGAAATTCCTCCTTAGTTCTAGGTTGCTTCTCTTCTTGATTAGCTTCCATCCATTGCTTCTTGTCCTGCCTTCAGGTGTGATGACCCGTAGTCTCTCAAAATAACCCAAAACCCAAAACATATATTAAAGTCCGGTAAGGCCTTCAACTGAACTTCACTGTTTTATTTGGCACAGTTTAAAGTCACAAAAGTAACTAATGAGGCAAACAGAAAACCCAAACAAACTGCATTGATGAGAGTTCCGAAGCAAGCCAAGATAACTAATCATAAACTCCAGGAAAATAACCGAGAAAAGTCCATGGGAAGAACGCCAACAAAGATAAACCTCTTTCAAGTTGAACACTAAATTGACTCCTGCAAACTCTAACTGCGCAGTTGCAAACTTATATACATAGCTCCCACCTGCAAGCCACGAGGAGGATCATGGTAATCTCCTCTTGAATAGACCTCGCTTTTCCCTGATCCTCTCCTCCCAGCATGACCTAGGATGGATAAGGGATGGGCCTGGATCCTCTTCTGACTGCTCAGCCGGCCTCTGCCCTTCCCCAGCCTCCTCCACCACCTCTGGAGCCACACTTCCACTCCCTGTTGGCTGTTCCTCCTCTTCCTCAGAGTCAGTCTCCACCAGGGGCATGACATCAGGTGTCTTGGAGAATAGGTTGATCCCCCCCGAGATATCGCAACAGTGCAAAAGCAAACAAGCAAAACATAACAGTGCAGTTGCCTTTTGAAGGGGGGAAAAAAACATATTTGAGAGTTCTTCTACAGGACACCCTGGTGAGTATTTGCAGAACATTATCACAGCTCCTGTTCCCATTTCTCTGATTCCTGGGTGGCTGAAATGTGTGGGGCCTGGAACTTGACACCATGGAGTCTAACCAATGTAGACCACACTGGAACATATAATCCTCTTGTAGATACTTAGCACATCCATGCAGAATAATATGATGACTTGAAATGGAAAAATGGAGGCAGTCTCCCTTGGGCAACATTTTCACTGAAGGGAGAACTATCACTGTGACATGACATTTTCTTTTTCTTCCTTTCTGATAGAATATGTAAAGTCTCAGGGCAAGAACTAAAATACACAGATTCTTTTTTTTCTTAAAGAGAAAACAACAGGAGGAAAAGTTCTAATGGTAAATATCACTGATTCAATGTCAGTGCACTTCATTTTTCTGATGTTCCACAATAACACAGCAGCGAGCATCAGGAATTGAATCAATTTTTTATATTGCATCCATTTATATGCATTAGGAAACATAGACAGCAGAGTGATAGCGGCGTTTGTGATGGAAGTCTGTTGGATGATTTCTCCAGAAATGTTTCGTCAAAAGGAATGTCTAACCCTTTGAAACCCCTTTAGACATTCACCCCTATTCAAAGAGAAAGCTCGGTGGAGTAAAATCCTTGTTTTCCAGAATGCTTTGTCCTGGGGCAAACGAACAGCCCATGAGCCTCTGACTGTCAATGCTGGGTATTGCTGGATTTTGGGTGCTGTAGGCAGAGTGGTTTCTAAGCTCTGCCTAGAGATATGGGGATTTGGGGGATGGATTCCTCTGTAGGCCAGTTGTGTGTTTCTCTACTGAACTATGAACCTTGTCTCCGACTTCATACCTGGTATTCAACAGCTAAGCTGAAGGCGCTATCTGACAGCTTCTCGTAGCAATGATGTGGGAAAGCCGACACGGGTACTGCACCGAGGACTCTATAAGAGATAAATAGTAGAGAAATTGGATCATTTCAATACCAAAGGGTGCAGTCAAGTGTAGTTACTCCAAGTAGTTTGGTAGGAATTCTTCAAGGTCGGCCAGATTAGGAAATCAATGACATATAGGTCACTACTTATTTACTATAAAGCTATAGTAGCAAAATCTTGCAAGTCTGAATGGGCTTCTCTGCACCCACTTTATCTTATCTGGAGTAAGGAAGGGCTTGTCTGGGAATTTTTTTTTTCATGGTCTAGGCTCAAGCCCCTCTTATCTGACCATTGCTTTTGTAACAACTCTTCTCTTGTCCTTCAAAATATTTCCTTCGTTTCCCTACAACTGGCTTACCTTGCATTTCTCTCCCCCTCCCTCCCTCTTTTTCTCCCTTCTTCTCTCCCTCTGTGTCTCTCTCTCTCCTCCCCCCTCCTTCCTTCCCTCCCTCCCTCTATCTGTCTCATTCTCTCCTTCCCTCCCTCCCTCCCTCTCCCTCTCTCTCTCCCTCCCTCCCACTTCTAATCCTAGGCAGGGCTTTGCCTTCACCATTGCTTGGTCTCAAACAAGGTAATATGGTGCTACTCTTCTAAAAATCTTAAAATTTATTCTCACCTAGGTAAGTTCACATCTGGATTCTGCTCCTCCAAGACATCTGTCATTCTGAAATCAAGGTAGGAAAATTGGAAGTGACACTTGGGCATCTGTTAGTGCTCCCATTCTTATCAGTAAGGGGAATGTCAAACAAGAGACTGCTGAATTGAAGTCAACAATGCAAGATCCATTTCCAGGAACTCCAGAACTCAATTTTCCATCATCATGGCCTGAGTGTTACTCAAATTTCAAGATATCCAACTGATATTTATAATAGGCAGATAATTCATGGATAGGTTATGTTAAGGCAACCTTTCCCTAATTTAGGATTCCGAAAATATGTTGGATCAATTCCCATAATATTCAGTCAGTCCTTGCTGTAGACAAAAGTCAAGTGCAAAGGTTGCTAACAATAGGGTCCTTGATGCTTTCCAAGCTTGGTTGCTTTCTTACAGACATTTCATTATCCAACTAGTTATTATCGTCAGTATCAGCAGTGCTAGCTAGCTCAGGAAATTACCTAGCTGGATATTGAAATGTCTGCAGAGTACCAAAGACCCCTCAGAGAGCACCAAGGACCCCAGAATTCAACTCTGAGCTACAAATATTTCCTCCTATTGGTGCTCACAATCTCAAACATGCTTACCTTGGTCTCCTGAAATAAAAGAACAGGAAGCAAAGGATGACCAACAGAAACAGCACTGCAAAAAGGGATCCAAGGAGAGCCACTGAACACAGAAAGAAAACGTAAGATCTTTGGACAAACAATTGGGCCCAAAAATGTATGAAACAATTGGTACCCTCCAAATGGAATGGTCTTCTTCAGAAATAATTACTTAAATTGCTATGGTACAACTGCATGATTAGCACATAATTTACACTAAGATGATCTTAGATCTCACCTGTACCAATGGTGCACTCCACAGTATCTGAGACTGCATATTGGTTGTACCAAAATGTTTTTATTTTAATTTGGTAGACTTTGGCAGGCCGAAGTTCTTGAATCACCACTGGTTCACTGCAATTTGGCTCATTTTTCCAAGCTTGATCTGACACGAGGACCACAATTTTACTAACAGCACTTGCTGGACATGTCCAGGATAATTTCAGACTCCAGCTATCTTTCGAAGGGACACATGTCAAATCACTTACTTGTTCTGGCTCTGTACAAGCAAGAAGGAAAGAGGGTTAGGCAGGTGCCTTCTCACAATCTCACCAGCTCATTCTACCAACTTTAGTTGTCTAGAGCGTGGGTGTCAAACTGGCAGCCAGTGGGCAAATGTGTCACACGCAGGCCATGTCCACCCCAGCTTCAGGAAGGGGGAAAAACGTCTCAACACATCACGTGACGTTAATGTGACGTGGGGAGTTTGACATCCATGGTCTAGAGAGCTGCTCCCATCAGAGAAAATGAAGTGGTCGCCTTGAGAAAATTACAGAAAAAGGAGCCAAGCTCCCACCAGGTTCCTGTTTGATTAGAACTACATTTGGACTGTGAAACTCCACTTGATTATTAAGTGGCAGTTAATGTGTCTCTACTGCCAACTAGGGGCATCTGCAGTTTGCAAGCAAGCTCTGATAGCTGCTCTGTTGATCAATCATATCAACCATGTTTTCTTGGGCTGCTCCTGGGTGCCCATTTGACTTAAACATCTCTGCCTGTTTTCCTATTACATACAAAGACATAACTCTCTGGACAAGGCTCTAATGTTGGGAAAAATAGAAGGAAAGAAAAAGAAGAGGATGACTAGGAACAAGGTGGATGGACTCTGTTGCCTTTGGGAGACCTGATAGATTAGGTGAGAGTCAGAGCATCATGGACAAAAGTCTAACTAGGTGGTCACTAGGAGACAAAAGCTTGATGATACAAAGTCAATCATTCATTCATTGGGTCTGGGAGCCCTCTCATTTCCCCGCTTCTAACCTAATGTTGCTTCCTAGTCTATCTCTGGCCTTCTATAGGTTGGTAGCCATCAAGCGTACATTAAAGGTTAATGCACATTTTAGACAAAGGGTGGAACCATTGCCTTCTTCCAGTTATAATCTGAGAACACCCAGAAAAGTCTTCTACATTAATGCAGAATGGCAGGATATGCCCAGCCCTGACTGTGGTCTTCCCCCATTCAGGCAGGGGTTGCTTAGTAGTCAAGCGTGCATGTAGAACATTCCTGATTCAAATTCTGGGCATCTATTTCTCTCTCAGTGTCAGGTTTCAAGTAATGCAATCATCATGAAATGAACTCGGAAGCATTGCAATTCCTCAAAGAATCGTTTTATTTACTTACACATCTTGGCACGAACTGGTGATTGGGGCACGTGATGGAATGATGGGTGCAGGGAGTGGATCTGTAATTTTTTAACTTATTGGAGGAAAACCCGGAACTTTCAGATTCGGGTTTTCCCAGATGTGCCAGTCTAATAAAAGGAAACTTTGAGAAAATGCCTGTCTCGGAGTTTTTAATTGGACTTGGGTTTTTCTGGAACGCTGACACTCAAACTTTTCTCTTTCTTGAACTTCACTATTTGGCAGAGGGGTGGGAGTTGAGGGTGGACAATTCAGGGCTGGCAGGCAAAATGAAGGAAGATCTCAGGAGGCAGGTGCAAAAGACACTCCAGTGATACCGTAAAGGAGATAATTGTATGCATCACATCCCTTTGGCCATCCATGAATGGCACCCCCATCAGCTGGGCTAAATTGAAATTCAACCAGCAATCTAGTTCCTTATGCTCAGTGAATTGGTCAAGGTTTGAGGCCAGACATTGTGGCCCAGCTCTGGCATCAGATTATCATGGACAAAATCTATCTGTGTACAGGTAGTCCTCGGCTTACGAACGAAGTTGAGCCCCAAAATGTTGTTGCTAGGTGAGACAGGCTGTTAAATGAATATTGCCCCATTTTACGATCTTTCTTGCCACAGCTGTTAAGTGAATCACTGCAGTTGTTAAGCTAATAACACGCTTGTTAAGTGAACCTCATTGACTTTGCTTGTCTGAAGGTTGCAAAAGATGATCACATGACCCTGGGACGCTGCAACCGTCATAAATATGAGTCAGTTGCCAAGCATCTGAATTTTGATGACATGACCATGGGGGTGTTGCAACGGTTGTAAGTATGAAAAATGGTCATGTCACTTTTTTCAATGATGTAACTTTGAACGGTCACTAAATGTTGTAAGTTGGGGACTAGCTGTAGTGGGAGTAAAAAAATAACGTCATGGCACATAATCAGTACATCATGAGCCACGCTAGTGCAGTGGTTAGAGTGCAGTACTGCAGGCTATTTCTGCTGCCTGCCAGCTGCCTGCAATTTGGCAGTTCAAATCCCACCAGGCTCAAGGTTGACTCAACCTTCCATCCTTCAGAGATCGGTAAAATGAGGACCCAGGTTGCTGGGGGGGGGGGGGGGGGGCAATATGCTGATTCTATAAACCGCTTAAAGAGGACTGTAAAGCACTGTGAAGTGGTATATAAGTCTAAGTGCTGTTGCTATCATTCATAGCCTAATTCTTTCCATATATCTATTATTCTTTGATAAAGAATGGTTTCCCCCCTTCTCCTCTTTTTTTTTGCAAAATGAGGATTAAGTACTTGTGGCTCCAGGCTGCTGAAGGCCAATGCTATCTCTGGATAGGGAACCATTTCCAGCTGTGCTGAAGATGGTGAAGGTGTAATTGGTGCTGGGAGTGAGACCATGCAGGACAGCTTGGTCCAAAGGCTTGGGGTATGTTTCATTTCCTCTGGATTTTTCTGAAGGGCTCCACTGGAGTCGGATGGCACTGAATGGTGAGTTCGGGTTCACCCAGGCAAAATGAGCCGTGGTTTGATTGATCATCTGGATGCGGAAATTGGCCGGGGGCAGTGGAGCTGAAAGAGAGGGGTAGAGTGTTAGAACATCAATCCCAGAAAGCAACAAGCATGGTTGTGTTTGAGAGGCAGTTTGGCCTAGTGGTTAAAGCACCAGGCTGAAAACCAGGAGACTGTGAGTTCCAATCCTGCCTTAGGCATCAAAGCTAGTTGGATGGTTTTGGGCCAATTAACAGGACACTGTGAGTTCCAGTCCCGCCTTAGGCATGAAAGTTGACTGGATGACTTTGGGCCAATCACCAGGAGACTGTGAGTTCTAGTCCCACCTTAGACATGAAAGCCGGTTGGGTGACTTTGGGCTAGTCACTTTCTCTCACCCCAATGCACCTGACAGGGGTTGTTGCAGGGAAAAAGAAGGAGTGTAAGTTACGCCCGCCATTTTGAATTATTTATATAAACAATAAAGGCAGGATAAAAAATATCTAAAAATGAAAACATACAATAAAATATAAAAGGGAGAGCTCTCTTTTATAGGCGTCTTTGGTTTCATGCATTCTTTATGTATGAGAAGACATCATTCCCAGCCACTAGTTCCACAGGCAGGGGATGTTGGCAGTTGCATCTGATACAACTGGCAGCAGAGGTGGTCTTCAGCAGGTTCTGACCGGTTCTGGAGAACCGGTAGCGGAAATTTTGAGTAGTTCATAGAACCGGCAAATACCACCTCTGACTGGAGATTTTACAGTATCCTTCCCCTGCCACACCCACCAGGCCATGCCCACAGAAACAGTAGTAAAAAAAATTGAATCCCACCACTAACTGGCAGCCACATAGGTAGGAGAAGGCCTGTGGATAGGAAGAGCTTGGAAATCAGAAGCAAATCTGTACTGAAGGCTAGGAAGCCTCCAGGATTCCTTTATTTATTGCCCTGACATCTTTCCCGTTTTGTGTAGCGCTTGAGCATCACAATGTCTCGGGTGTGTGTGTGTGTGTGCAGATGGAGCAAGGCCAAGTACCCAAGACCTCTCTCAGAATGATTCACGGCCAAGCAACGATTGAAATTCTAGCTCCCTTCAGAGCTGAGATGTCAACCAAACAAGGTTCCTGAACGCTTTTCAAAAATTGGCACTCACATGTTAGAGTCCACTGCTCTGCGGCTGTGCTCAAAATCCCATTTAATTTTGATGTCACCTTCACCAGGTACAGAACTCCTGGCTCCAAATTGCAAAGGGTGTAATGGGAATCCGGAATGATTCGGTTGTCCACTTGGGTTCTGCCGTCTCTCCACCAACTGATTCCGTATGAATAGTCCTTCGCATTCGGGTCTTTGGGAGGGTTCCAGGCCATGGAAAGTTGATGAGAGCTGTAACTTTCTACAGTGATATTCTCAGGGCTGTTGGGAGCTGAGGAAAGAGCAGATTTACAACCCATAAAAGATTCAGGCTTATCCGACTCCCTGTTTCAGTCGGCCAAAAGGATTCTGGGAGTTGAAGTCCACACATCTTCTACTTGCCAAGGTTGAGAAACTCTGCTCTGGCCTGTTCTTTGGACATGAGCGGAAAAGAGTTACTGCAATGAACAGGATTGCTACCGAATCTCGCATGCTTCGCCAGGGGTCCCCAACCCCCATCCCTGGACTGGCACCAATCCGTGGCATGCCAGAAACCAGGTCTCAACTCATAAAATATTTCTATGGTCTTTTTAGAGTTGTCAACAGAAAGGGGGGCGGGAGCAGTGCACCAGCTTGCAAACTGAAAGTGCATTCCATAAATGTTTTCAAAGATAGTAACTAGATGACTGACATTTCTGCCGTGCAAAATTCTAACTGGAGAGCATGATTGATGACTCTTGGCTATGGATGTGTCCCATTGGAGAATATGAATTACGATACACCCAGGGGGTGGGGGAAAACCAGGGTCAAGGGTGACAGTGAATTATGTGCCTCAGAGTCAGCTACACCCAGGCAATGCCGAACATTTTAACTCCCAATAAATCCTTTTGAAGTTTTGGAAGTTTGGCTCGAGACTCATGATTTAAATGGGGGTAACTGCCAGAATCCTGACACCAGGCCACATAAACAAGGGAAGCCCCATCTGTGGGATGCAGGCACCATGCAAAACCATGCCCCCACTTGTCTGTGGAAAAAACTCTCTCCACAGAACCAGTCCCTGGTGCCCAAAAGGTTGGGGGGGGGGGGGGCGGCTGCTGTGCTACGGCAACTACCAGGGCCCCAGCATCTGCGTAGGACCCACCAAACTCTCCTTTGATATTTTCTTTCTGGCCTCGGGCTTTGATTATCAACCCCGGAGCCTTTTGTAAATCATCCTTTGTTGTTATATAAAGCACCAATGAGAAATTAAATTGGTAGCTAAATAGGCAGTCCTCGCTTATACAAATACAAAGGGGATTGGCAACGACATCTTTAGGCAAGGCAGTCACTAAGAGAGAAATAATTACTTTGTTCATGGCCGTTAAGCAAATCACTTGTGATCGCTAAGTGAAAGATCACCTGACTGCAATGGATTTATGATCTCACTTCTGCTGTCATGTGACTGTGACTTGCTTCTCACTGACTCTGCTTGTTGGAAGTGTGCAAATGACAACCACATAACCACAGGATGCTGTGACTGTCATAAAGTAACTTTTCCAGTGCTGTCACAACTTCAAACGGTCGCTAAAAGGGTGGTCCTTAAACAAGGACTGCCTCTGATAGCCCACAAAACACTTGGACTTCTTTTATGGATTCTAAGCCGCCATTTCTTCACCCTCCCACTCCCCCCTTCTCCCGCTGGCATTAAATCCATTCTACCTGTCATGACACTTATGGTCTTTGTGTCACCATAAACGTTGCTCTTGGTAATGGCCCTGACTTCAATTGTGTACATTGTTCCTCCTTTCAATCCTTCCGCAAGAAACGGGCTTTCATTGTCAATGGCGCAGTTGATCAAGCAGACACAATAAGTGTAGGTGTGGTTTTGAGGGTCTCTGGGTGGCTTCCATCCAATCTGCAGGGAATGCGCTGTGCGGTTTTCTATTGTGAGGTTCTGGACCGACGAAGGCCCTGAGATAAAGAGAAGACATTTTTCACAGCTTTCTCTACTGAGCGGCTTAGCCAATACTTGTTGATTCAGCATCATTGCTGAGAACTGCAACAAAATGGTACAACATGGAATGTGCTGATGTCCAGGATGTAGAAATTGAAATAATAAATAAAGAAGCAAGCAAGCTGTTCTATTTCCCTCTACTCTCATTTGTTCCACTTTTATCTTTTCCCAGAATAATCAGCTAAGCATTCTTCAATACAAAGCTTAAGATTTATTAGGCTATTGGCTACCCCTAATTATATTTGTTGTTTAAAAATAAACATTTTAAATTGTTGAATTGGGTTTTTTTTAAACTTCGCACTTCCCTTAAATCTCCTCATTTATTGTTATTGAGTTTGATGGCGCCATTTTGCCAACTTAAAGATGGACATTCAGAAAACCAAGCTGGATACTATATTAGAAACAGTATTGGTTCTCAGTTTGGAACTTTAATCAGAAATTTAATAGGCTTCATTGTGTGAATAATTGATTTGTCAGTGTGTAGGTACTTGCATACAACTTTGCATATCATCTGTCTTTATCCTTTCAGCATTTTTGCACTCCTATGTCATTATCCTCACTGATGCCTCTTATTGTCCAATAGGGAGATGTCAAAAATGGCAACCAACTGGGTCTTCCGGTTTGTCGGCTTTGCGAGCGGCAGGGATTCGCGAAGCTGCGCGATCCCTGCTGCGCTAGCCGCTTTTGGTGCTCCGATCCGGACGGGTCCGGAGCTAGGCTGCCCTGCAGGGGCAGCTGAAGATAGGGGGGATCCGGAGAGGGGTTTGGGGGTGTTGCAGACCCCCTCCCCGGCCGGCAGAACCCCCTTTTCCCAAGACGGTGCAGCAGCGGTCCGCAATGGCCGCCACAAAGAAGCTGGCAGCCGGGTAAGAATGCGCAGGAGGAAGTGGAGAAAGTTTTTGAAAAGAGAAAGTTTTTCTTGGTTCCCAGGACTCTAAGACATATTTAACAAAACTCCTGAAAATTATGACTTTCTGAATGATACCTTCTAGAAGAGGAAAAAAGCGGCAGTTTGGTGGTGCTGAAAGGAAAGTTTACTCTCCTTCCCGACGGAATTAATAAGTGGACATTGAGAAACCTGTTTTTTTCAGGTAAAACTAGCTTTATGGGATAAGTCGGAAGGGAGAGGACAAAAAATATATTCATCTGGTTTGATTTTGTTGGAGGAGATGCCTTAAGGATTTGAAGACAGAAATAGAACTCCAACAAGGCTTCAAAATACAGATTTGGACTTTCTTTTTTCTTTTGTCTGATACTACCCCTGGAAGAGAAAGGGAGAATTTTGTCTTGGCTTGGCTTGATTGAGGATTGTGGATTTTGGGATTGTTTTACTTTTTTTAAAAAATATCTTGGTTGGTGTAAGAAGAAAGAGGGAAAAAAGAAAAGAAAAGAAAAGATCTATAATGGCTTTTTCTTTTGAGGAACTGAGGGAAGAATATGAGCAAACAAAAGCAGCCGGTAAAGATGGTATGGAAAAAGCCTTCCTATTTTTAGAAATGGCGCTGGTTAACTATCAACAAACAATACAACAGATGGAGGCAGAAGAACAACAAGAAAAAGAAGATGAAGACGCCATCTTTAATGAATTCCAAAATTTAACTAAGAAAGAAGGAAGGAAGAAAGCGAGGAAAATGAAGAACTTAAGATCTAAAAAAACATTTAAGAAAGAGAAAAATAAGATGCAAAATAAATATAATGATAGTAAACAAAAGAAAAAGGGAACACAACAGAGAAGGGATGCCAGCAAGACAGAGGCTAGAAGAAGGGGGGGTAGGAAGATTTGGTGGGGGAAGAAAGAAAGGGGAAAGGCGGAGAAAAGCCACAAAGTTTTGAAATTAGATGGGAAAAGAGGAATTTTTTTTAGGGACAAAGGGTAAAGTACAATTTCCTTAAAAAAGATTTTGCAAGGTACATAAGATGGTATTGTAACATCTGTATTAGAAATAGAAAATTAGAATGGCTTAAGAGTTAATAAGAAATTAAAATGTTGAAATGTTTAACAATGATTGATTTTAAAATGTAATAAAATATTAAAGGGAAAGGCAATGGGAATGTTATAAGATTTAATATTTAGATTTATTATTTAACTATGTATTTAATCATTTTGGATTTATCACTCTGTTTTTATTGTTATTAAAAGAAAAAAATTAGTAGATAGAATGTACCAAGCAGAATCAGATTGGGTATTAGGTGTTATTTTAAATGTTAATCTAATTAATTTAGGGGGAGGATAGAAAGGCATCATACTCTGATTAGTGATTTCAGGAGAAATTCTTTTTTTTTTTTTTTTATAAGGAATGAGATAGAGGGATAATAAAGAATGGGCAAAAGATACAAATATAATGATTTGAATTAAGATGGATTAAATAAGATAGAATTATGAAGAGTGAAATGTGTGGAGAAGTTTATATAGAAGATATAGAATGGTAAACAAAATAGGTAATGATATGTAAGATGAGCATGAATATAATTGAAGCCCATATAAAGAGAGGTACCTGGGGCCAAGTTACTTTCCTAAAAGATTTTTTATATGTTTGTTTGTTGTGTGTTTATGTTTTTGAGAGTATTAATAAAACCTTGTAGAAATACAGAATGAGAATAATGGTAATCAAGTCAGAAAGAAATAGATGAAATAATAATAGTGAAACTGAATAAGAGTAAAGAGAAATTGGATAAGAGGTATTTTTATGCTCATATGGAAATGGCTTAAAATAGAATTGTATTGTATAAAATAAGGTTTTATCTGACTTGTAAAATTTATAATGGAAAAAGGTTCAAATATGTAATGGTTGATGATGATTTGTTTGTCTTTGAAATTAATAAAATTTGCTTAAAAAAAAATGGCAACCAACCAACCCCTCTTTCTCTGCCTTCATTCTCATCTCTTTGCTGGTGGCTTTTAAAACAAAGCATAATTGTGGCTATTGCAAGGGAAAAAGTAGCAAAAGTGATTGACAGATAAATGGACTGGGCTAATGTATAAGTATACATTTATACTTATTATCTTGTAAACAATTGACAAATCAAAATAAATAAAATAAAATAAATAAATAAATAATGTCAAGATGTTATGACATTCCATAGATAGAGGGAGGAAGCAGTGGGTTGGGATCCTTTTTTAAAAAATTATCGGTTCCGTGGGCATGGCTTGGTGGGCATGTCAGGGGAAGGATACTTAAAATCTCCAGTCGGAGGCGGTATTTGCCGGTTCTCCAAACTACTCAAAATTTCCACTACCGGTTCTCCAGAACTGGTCAGAACCTGCTGAATACCACCTCTGGGAGGAAGGGAAACCCCAAAAGCGGAGGTGAGTTGAGCAGGGAATTCATGCCACTGACCAACTGTCCACTGCAGAACTCCAGATGTTTCCTCTAGAGCAGGTATCCACAACCACTGGTCCACAGCCCACTCCTGGACTGCGCCCTATTTGGAACTAAGCTACGAGAGAGATGGGCCAGTATGCGCATGCAGCTCAACTTGGGCAAGCTGCACTCCAAAGGCTGATCTTCTCACTTGCGTGAGGGGAGCTGTGTGCACCTGTGTGTTGGCCCACCATCCTCACGGCCAGCTTCACCTCTTACCACCCCCCCACAAACAGGCTGCCAAGCCACCTGTTCCCGGTGGCAGAGTGGTGAGAGCCGAGGCTAAGTGGGATGGGCACGTCCTGCTGACCTTTGCTGACTCCCCGAGGCTGTCTGCATAGGACACTTGATCTGCTTTTGGAGCATCGGGAAGCCTCAGTGCCCCCAAAGGCTTCTCTTCTCCACACCGAAAGCTTTTGCAAACAGATAAAAGGCTTTGGGGGACCAATCTTACACTGTTTCAGGCCTTCTGTCCAGTGGCGGGATTCAATTTTTTTTTTGCCACCGGTTCTGTGGGCGTGGCTTGGTGGGCATGGCAGGGGAAGGATACTGCAAAATCTCCATTCCCTCCCCACCCCACTAACCTGCTTTCCAGCTCCAATCTCCTGTGCAGGGCAACGAAAGAAGATCCAGCTGATCAGCTGGGACTCGGGAGGCAGAGAATAGATGGGGGTGGGGCCAGTCAGAGGTGACATTTGCCGGTTCTCTGAACTACTCAAAATTTTCACCACCGGGTCTCCGGAACTGGTCACGACCTGCTGAATACCACCTCTTCTTCTGTCCCTTTACAAAAGTTTTTGGTGTGGAGAAGCCTAAAGGAATGTGAAACTGCGCCTCAAAGGCTTCTTTTCTTTCTGGATCTGCCAGCCCACCATTCATGAGACCTGTCTCCCCTCTTCCCCCACCAGCTGGGCCACCAAGCCCTAAAGGTTGGGGAAGGACTGGGAGAACCTGAGGGTGGAGTTAAAAGAGGGATCAGCTTAGAATCCCTAGGTAGCCACAAGTGAACTAAATCCAATCTCCCTTGAATTCTGTTGACTCTTATTTAACTTCAAGTAGGTATTAATGTTAGTTGAGAATATTTCTGTGCAATAGACACATACATAGCAATAAATCAGTTTAATTGGACCTTCATGCATGATCTTTTGTGCCTGACAGAGGAAGAGTTGAGACTCAGCTTCCCAAGATTCATGCAAGTTCATAAGCAATATAGATCAGCCCAGATCTCAGGCTGACCCAGCACTTGAGAATGGAAAGAACTTTAGTTCTGCTACATCAGAAAACAGACATCACCAGGAGCCCCGGTGGTGCAGGGTTAGAATGCAGCATTGCAGGAAAACTGCCCACAGCTGGCGTTCGATTCTGATGGGGTTCAAGGTTGACTTAGTCTTCCGTCCTTCTGAGGTTGGTAAAACCAGGATCGAGATTATTGGGGGCAATATGTTGACTCTGCAATTCCATCCAGCACATGTAAAGCACTATGGGGCGATATATAAGTGCTAAGTGCTGCTATCTTCTTGTTTCTGCTGCTGTGAGCACGTAGTGATTGTGAGACTCACTTGTCGTTATGTTGATGGATGCTTCTTGACTACAACTTCCATTCAGGACTCTATACACTGTCATGTTATATTCCTGCCCATGGGATAGGTTTGTCATGACATGGCATGCATTTGCCCAGCTGCTTTTAGAGGTTATTATAGAGTGATCTCTGGAAGCTTCATGACAGCAGTTGATTACATCTTGCCAGTTAAGAGTTACAGAACAGTTGAGTTCCTCCAGTGAAATCAGACCTTTTGTAGGATTCAGTTCTGTGCAGAAAGGGAAACAAATGAATCAGAAATAAAGAGATGATGTCTTTATCATTCCCTAGGTAAACATCTTCAAATTGACTAGCTCTTCCCTTCTGGGTTGCAGCCCTGAGTTCTTCAAGCTGGCACTCCAGGGAACCAGTGTTTTTGACATGTTCCTTTGTCCCATCAAGTTTCCTGCTCTACCTGACTTCCTAAATTTAAAATAGTAATAATAATGCAAGAACATCCCGCAGATTGATTACAACAATATGGCAAATTAGCAACACTGGTGCATTGGAATATCTGCAAAAAAATATCACTTGCCTGCCAGCAAGAACCGGTGGGACCACAAAATAAACAAAGAGAAAATGAAGAAACTAAAGTGCTTTGGGACTTTAGAATTCAAACAGAAAACCATCTGCCACCCAACACTCCAGGTTTAACAACTGTTGAGAAGAAAGACAAAACAATCTGGATAGTGCGGTACCTGCAGGCAGCAGAATACAAGAGAAAGAACTCAAGGAAATAACAAAATATCAAGATCTACAAATTGAACGATTGTAACAAAAGAAAAAGAAGTACCTATAGTAATAAACACCTTGGGGCCAAACCCCAAACATCTGGAGCATCACTTGGATACCACTGGCATTGACAAAATCACCACTAGTCGACTGCAAGAGGCAGCTTGATTGGAACAGCTTCCATTTTGCAGTGATACCTTTAATATTATTAAACCACAACATCTGCCACAGGTCCTTAGGAAGGACCAGGTGTCTAGGGATGCTGACCCCTCATCTTTGATTACTTGGCTACTAATCAAACTTATGTTGACCCTGGGATTTGGGGAAACTCTTTTTTAAGAGAGAGCTTCTCTCTCTCCTTGGCCAACCTATGCACTTCCAGATCAAATTGTCCAAAGCTTATTCTCAGAAGCCCACATAGTATTGCAGGTCCTTGTTTCTTGGAAATAGGGGAACATTTTCAGGAGCCAAGGTGGTCTCTATCGATTATGCAGCACATGGTTCTCTGCTTGTGGCAGCTGGGTTTTCTTTAGCAGAGAACACAGATAGGACAGTATGGATTTTTAACCTTACTTGCACAGGTAGAGATGGAACAGTTAGGTAGGAAACCACAGATGTTAGCCTCGAACTCATCCCTTTGGCATCCTGAAGGTAGATTTGTAGCATTGAGACAATCTGCATCCCATTGTCTCATCTCCAATCGTCCCTGAATTAAAGGGCAGTAGACGACCACAAATTTGCTTTCAAGCTGACCAGGATCTTCGCAGCAATCTGTGAGAGCAGAAATGAAAGAGTTAGTCTCTCTTAGCTGCAAAAGAAGAAGGCCAAACCAGCTTTCTGGTTCATGCTGGAAACAGCCCAGGAATCAAACTTTTGGTCTAACTTGGTATAGGACAAGAACAAACAATCTTGGGCCGTTGCTCTGACAACTGTGGCAATCAAGGTAAAATGAATACAGATAGTTCTCGACTTACAACCATTTGCTTAATGATCATTCAAAGTTTCACACGCCACTGAAAAAAGAGACATGACCAATCCTCACACTTATGACTGTCTCAGCATCCCCACAGTCACATGATCAAAATTCGGGTGCTTGGCAACTGGCATGTATTTATACAATAGTTGCGGTATCCTGGGGTCACATGATTACCATTCATGACCTTCCCCGCCTGGTTCCAACCAGCAAAGTCAAGGGGGAGAGGACTGGATTCACTTAATAACCATTATGCAATTCACTTAACGACCATGGCCAAAAGGTCATTAAATTAGGCATGATTTCAAGGGTGGGATTGTACCAGTTTAGACAGGTTCTACAGAACTGGTTGTTATGATTCTGCACAGTTCAGAGAACCGGCAAATCGTGCCTCTGGCTGGCCCTGCCCCTTTCTGCCCAGTTCAGTCCTTATTGTGTATGTACAACATTGCGTGCATGCCTGACATTGCTGACTGCGTTCTTCCCCACCCAGGCACTCCTTAAGGTATATTTCCCCCTCCCAACGATCAGCTGTTCCAACGATCAGCTGTTCTGGGATTCCCTTCATTTACTTACTGCTTCACCCAGGAGGCTTCCCTGAGGCTCAGGGAGGCAAAAAATGGAGGGGGGGGGGGCGTAGCACTGATGCCAAAAAAAGGGGGAGCCACACCCACCCAGTCACATGACCACACCCACCTAGCCATGCCCACAGAACTGATTGTTACAAAATTTGAATCCCACCCCTGCATGATTCACAACAATTTGCCTTGCTTAACAATGGAAATTCTGATTCCAACTGGAGCCATAAGTTGCGGGTTACCTTTAGATACAAAAAAATGTCACCATGGATCAGCTGACACAGTCCAAAGACAAAATAATCGATCAGGTACTAGATTAGGCAGACAACAAGCAGATCTGTGTTTTGACTCTTTTGGCAACTAATTAGGCTAAAGACACAACTTGACACTATCTAGGCCTGTGTTGATTCTTCCAATGCATTATTGTAGTTAGATTGAAGAATTACAGTTCCATTTTTGTTTATCCTCAGTTGGGTAGACTCATCTAAAGTGTTTAAGTGCTTTCCAGGAATTGCTGGAAAAATCCAGATGGGTTACTTGTGATTTTCTTCCTTGCATATTGCTTCTTGTCCTCTCTGCAATAATGGAGAACATAATGGTCTTGTGGGTGCTACTGAACTGCATCTCCCAGAAAATCTACCAACATGGACAACCAGGATGAAGACTGAAAATTGTAGCTTAACAACATTGAAAAGGTCTCTGAGCAACATAACATGTATAGAAAGGAAAACAACAATGAAGAAACAACCCAGAGAGGTGTTTTCCTAGAGTGCGACTACAATTCAGAGCAGGTACTACTCAGTCAACCAAACCATAAGTCAGATCCAGTCAAAAATCTTCTGTCGTTCAAATGGCCTTTTGAGAACCACACTAAGTTCAACAGTGGAAATGTTCCTTAAAGAAAACAACAGGCATGTTTGCCCTGGAAGGAAAATGTATACATCTATCTATTGTTAGCTTCCACTTTACACTTGCTTGTGCTTTGCTACCAATGCGGTAACTGTCTGCCATGAACAGACCGGGTGGATGGGAGAGCAGAATACTTCGGGGAAAGCAAAAGTAACATATTTTTTGCTCCATAAGACACACTTTTTTGTCTCTTAAAAATGGCTGGAAATGTCTGTGCGTCTTATGAAGCGAATATTGCAGAAGCCCTGCCCATCTGCCAGTCACCACCCTTCGGCTGTTTTCGCCCTCTTTTCAGCCTCCCCGCGCCCGTTTTCGGCCTCTGCACGTCCTGTTTTTGGCCTTCGCATGTTCCATTTTTGGCCTGTTCCAGGTGGTGGCACAGCCACCACCGCCACCACTAATCACTGCCGCCAAATGTTCCAGGCATCAGTGATCAGCAGTAATTGGTGGCGGGGATTCCCCCCTGCCTGGAACAGGCCGAAAACAGGACTTGCAGAGGCTGAAAACGGGAAGCACAGATCACCACCGCTTGGAACAGCTGATCAGCGGTATTCCGTGAAGCTGATCCAACCGCCAATTCAGCTCATGCTGAATCAGGCTGCGATAATGCGTTGAAGCTGACCAAGCTCTTTGCTGTTTCCTGCAAGGACGCTAGCCAATGGATGCTGAGTGGCAGAGGCATTTCCCCCCCCCCCTTGTTTTCCTCCTCTAAAGCTAATGTGTGTCTTATCGTCTGGAGCATCTTATGGAGCAAAAAGTACGGTAACTTCTGTATCTCCCCAAGGTTACCGAGCTGGAAGAAGAAGGCAGCTGCATACCATCCTATGCTTGAACTGACCATTCTGAAAACATCTTGCTTGAACCTGGTTGGTCATGACCCCACCTCCCAGTTCAGCAATGGGAGGCAGTTAAGGGAGAGAAAAGTTGAACTTAGGGATTTTGGCACATGATTCTCAGTTCTGGCTATGCATTACGGCAATACACTTGACTTCTAATAAAATTATTCTTTCTCAGCAAATGAAGTCAAGGATTGTTTCTAATTAGGAGTTTAAGTTGTGGCGGGTCTGACATCTATACTTTTCTTAGTGGGAAAGATAATAGCTTCAGGATGTGTGGGACAACAGCTACCAAAGGAACAGTGGTTCAGAGGCAAAGCTCACACTTTGCATTTAGAAAGACCCAGATTCAATTCTTGGGATCTCCAGGGGTTCTGAAATTAAGTGCAGAGGATCCTTCTCCAGCCAGTACCCTTCAGAATATCAGATTTTCTAGCAAGTAACAGAAATGGATCTTGGGACCTGCAAAACTGAACGTCTGGAGGGCACTAAATTGTCGTAGACAGCACTGAGATCCATGGTCTAACTTGATATAGGCAAGCTCAAACATTCCCATAGAAAACGGAAGCATTGCTACAGGTATAATCTCCAATCTCCACTTTTTTCTATAATTGCTAAGAATACATTTCCTGTGTTAAATTGCACATCTTGTTCAACCTTTAGTTGGGAAAATTCCTAGGTTTCTAAGGGCCTTCATTTTACTTACCAGCACTTTTCTGGGATTGCTGATGTTTATTTTGTCCTTCTGAGAGAGGAGGGGGAAAAAACAGAGAGATAAATAGTTAAACTGTTGTATATGTGGCATCGCTTTGAAGCTTTGCAGTGTGCATCAAACAAAAAGATTAAACAAAAGACTTCTTAGTTCACACCAACACAAAGGGTTTTGATTGACCTTGCAGGATCAAACTGAAAGGACCAAAAACCTGGATGAAAGAGGCATCTATGTCTCTTCTCTGTTTCCAGAAAGGAGTATTCATTAACCTGCTGCCCTTAATCTTTGGGGTTCTGTTAAATCTCACAGTTAAAACCCTTCCAGATCAAAGCCTTCA